GTGGCGATTGGTATCGTCGTTTGACCGATATCTACCCATGCGGTATCGTCATCCTTCTAAAGAGTTCACTGTATTGGGTGCCACAAGCGAGGTAGAGTTCACACATTCTCTTTTGAATTGACATTTCACAATCAAGTTCTGACCATGTTGTAGTATCTCATCACCTTTTGCTGGTGAATTACTTTGGATTTTATAAAAATCAATATTTCAGGTTGACTTCAGATTCGAAAACGTGAAATTTCTATGCGTTCGTGGATAAGTATAAACTGGAATTCATCTATGTGAATAGACCGTCTGGATTACACTACTGGCAGCGCGTCTAGGCACTGTAGTGTAGGCGTAAAAAGCGCGACATGGTTTTGTTAAAAAGTTCCGTTCATTTTCGCCCAAGAAATACTCATGTAGTACAATGGTGCCTGACAGCGCATGCAGTGTCATTACGATCAATTCTATGGCTTCCTGGAATCGATACTACAACCTCTCTGAAATCTACACACTGATTATATTTGGGAGGATATTTTTATCGACGTGATACATCACTATATTCTTGCAAGTCACGATGTAGGTCGGACACGCATACGGTCAACTTTATAAAGCCTCATGGAGATGAATGAAGTGTGCACGGACAAATGAATGTCTGGCATTTCATTTCATTATCCAGTATAATGTTTTTTTATTGTTGCCTTTCAGGTTCCACTATGGAAACACTGCATTGATGAAGTCGTCGATAAACTTGCCGAGCCTCTTTCTTTCGCTTATGCAAGTAGTTTCTTTCCGATCGAGAACAGAAATAGGGTGAATATAACAAACTTTGCAACATCGGTTACCTTAAAAGTAACTCAGAAATAATTTTATATATATATATATATATATGTATATATATATATATATATATATATATATATATATACTCACCTCTGTTCCATTTCTTTGCATCTCGCTTACCGGCGTGTTTGCTTCCGTAACTACATTAAAGCTCTAAAATGAATCGTCAGCGATGTACCTAAATGCGCAGTGAAATTGAATATTGATATAAATGCGAAATGAATTTAATTTGAGAGAAAATGAAGACACAAGAAAGATGATGTAGAGTTAATTTGAAAAGATAGGATTCTATGCAGAAAGTATTTGATGAATTTTCATAGTCGCTGCTGGCTATAGAGATTTTTAGGCCAAAGAAATGATAGCAGATCTGAAACGATCAATGGAACGGATTATTCTGGAAACAGATTGGTTGGACGATATGGTCAAGAAGGCGGCGCTAAAAAAACTGAAACATATGGGTGCCAAAACAGGGTAAAGAAATTGGAGATAGGATATCTTTTGAATGAACTCTGACTGATTTACAGAATTCCTAAAATGCTGGAAGATGAAGTTAGTGTGCTAAATCTCTATAAAGGAGTGCAGATGAAAGCTGATCGCTACTTCGACAACGTCTTGCAGTTAAAGAAAATGGCAGTAAGGTGATGAGTACAGCAAATGGAAAATTTATTGAAAGATTATCATTTGTTTCGAGTGCTTTCTTAAGACCACAGCTCAAGTTTCAATATGCCAAAGAATCATTTTTGAGCCACGCATGTTATTTGGTCTGTTCGGCACTCTGTGTGTGGTGATAATTTAACTGGACATAGAATGTTAAACGTTCGAGGTAGCTAACTCTTAGTGTGGGGAAGGAGCACCTACACAGATTAGCAAAAGACGAGAATGGGTAACTGCCCAATTGTCGAGATCGTAAGATCAAAACACGTGTATCGGCCTCTATAAGTTACCCCACCTTCAACAGACAGCATGACATGCGTGGCTCAAAAATGATTCTTTAGCATATTGAAGAGTTGCTTGACAGCTCATCGCAATGTCTTTGAGGTGCACCATTAAGTCAAAACTATGTGAAGTTAGGTTTTTCTTGTGATGGAATGATCTGGAGGACCAGAAGAACTGAAACAGTATGCTACGACCAGAGCTCAACTATAATATGCGCTGCTTCTCAGCGTTTAAGATAGAAGGATAAAGAACAAAGCTCTCGGCGTTGACCACTTCCTGTGGAATGCAATATGCATTCATCTTCAATTTCCAACTTCGTTTCACAATGATTCAGTGCATCTTCGACTTTCACAGTGACTCGCGGTGGCCTCCCGCTTTGTCGAATCAGTGCTACTTATCCTCCCAGGCAAGTCTAACACCACTCTCGTATCGGTTTACCGACTCCGGAAGGATGGATGGCTTGATGAGCCATGAACGCGAGATCAAAGCCTTGCATTTGATCGATTTTCTTGGAAAAATGATATACAAAATAAATTAGAAGATGATTCTGGTTTCCTTGTGAGCTGAAAAACATTACAAATATATTGATGACTTATTTCGTTAAATTTTGTGGCGAGAAAGAGTCAGAAAGACGGTCACTAACCATTTCAGGAACGAATTTTATCAACTTCGCAATACTCTTTCTAAGGACGACAAATGGGTTGTGCATGTACTTGATGCCGGTGCTTATCATTATCATAGTAGAAATGAAATAAGTCAGTACATTTTTGAACGATTCATTACTGGCACGATGCAAATTCAAAGAATTTCTATTATAAACCATAATCCTCCAATCTCTTGTGAATATGGAAGAGCTAACTTTTTATATGAATAGGAGATACTGATAGAGAAAACATTCTTGGAAATACTCTGATTTGAATGAGTTTATATCCAGACTTTCTTAAGTTTTTCCTGCTCCGATTTTGCAATTCCCGATGTTTGTACCGGAAGCTCCTTTACCTGTTAATTATGGGGCCATTGGCACCGTGATCGGGCATGAAATCACTCACGGCTTCGACAATAAAGGTGAGCATCTAAAAAATTGACGTAAACTGGATTCAGGTAAATATAGAAAAATTTTTCAGGAGCACAGTACGACGAAGCTGGAAATGTGAGATCATGGTGGGATCGAAGTACGTGGGCGACGTTTATGAAAAAGATGCAGTGCTTCGTGATGCAGTACGGCAAGCAGATTGAGCCAACAATCAAGAAAAATGTGAGATATGTGGTAATTTTGATGTGAATAAAAACTGACGAAATAAAATAATTATCGTGACGAAGATTTTAAGGTTAATGGGCATCTGACAGTTCAAGAAAATATAGCTGATAATGGTGGACTGCGAGCAGCATATGAAGTGAGGACCACTAAAAACTTGTATTAGTTAACGATTCCATTTTTTCATCTAGGCATACAAAATGAGATGTTCTCGTGAGGAATGCACGGCCTTACCGCAAATGTCATCGTTTACGCCGGAGCAATTATTCTTTGTTGCGTTTGCTAACGTGAGTCATTTCCCCGTTGTCGTCTTCAGCGACTCATTGAAAACTTTCAGACTTCAGTGACTGAATTCTCACACTTCAATGAATTATGCAAAATCATTATTTAGATATGGTGTCAAAATCTGAGGTCTTCAGTAATAGGCCAAATTATGGAAAGCAGCTCACATGCACTCTGGAGGTTCAGGTGAGTATTTTTAGCTCTCCGACTATTCCTGGACATTTACAGCCTTCTACCTGCCATTTCATCAACTGTGGTCGTCTCCGACACAATAACTACTGGAGTGCGGCTGAATTCCAACCCTCAAGTTCAACTATTGGCAGCCCACTTCACTTCAATCTATTAGACTTTTCGTTTTCAAATTTTTGCTGGAGAACAATATGCAACGATTTCGACAAGAAATTTGTCGAGATTTGAGCTATCCAACAATTACACTCCCATAGACCTCAGTCGGGCAGACAAGCAAACTGAGTGCGAAACACAGTTTTATTTTTATTACTATAACACATAAGAACAGCTTTTCATAAGCTAAACATATTAACGGAATTGCCTAGATTAATCTTCGCGATTGCTTACTAAAGGTCCGAGGATAATGTTTCCTTAACGAGATTTCTCTTAGAAATTCATTTGTACAAATGCATACAATCCGTCCCAAAATGGTTAATATTGAGACATCAGTCTACCCATACAAAAATCATCCTTTTTAGGACTAACGTGCCACTTCAAAACTTTCCTCCGTTTGCGAAAGCTTTCCAATGTCCGGTAGGGAGCCTTATGAATCCACGCGAGAAGTGTCGAGTATGGTAGCTCGCAGATGGAACAGCTTTGAATGAAGAAAAAATTGACTAGATTTATTCTAAATGGAAGTTAGCTAAAAAATTCTACTGTGTACAATTGGATCTATGAAGTTATTGTCCAACAGACTTCAGTACAAAGTTTCTTCTGGACCTCTATAGATTTTTCAATTCCTAACGTATGCCGACAAAGCGATGCACCTCCGAATTATTCGTAAAATGGAATCGCATTTCAATGCGCAGTGCAAGGTTTGACAACATGTAATTTCCTTATAACTTACGTTTCGAGTGTTTTCTTAAGAACACGTTGACTCGAATGACAATTATGAGATATGTTGATATGTGAGCGTGATCTTAAGAAAAGACTCGAAACGAAAGGTATTATATATTAACAATACCAGCTAAGAACAGTCGAGAGTACAACGCTATCCATTTAGTGATAAGTTCACTTAGAGGACGGTTTAAAATGTTCTTCGGTGCCTACTCCAAGTATAGGGACTGTGCGCCCCGAGAGGAATGGCAAAAGACGAAGGGTACCGACGCCGACTGATGAAGCTGTCAGGGTCAAAATACGTGCATTGTGCTCTATAGGTCTGCCCTATAATAGAACACATGACATATTGTCTCAAATAATATTTATGAGATATATTCTATAATTCAGTGATGTAGAGTGATGTGCAGAACTTTTACGTCAGGTGGAACTCGAACGCACATCTCACTCTATCAAGGAGCGCGTACTCTGACACTTTGCACTACTGGCGCTCATTTTGCACACCACTATTTCTACGCTACGACGAATCTATCTGCCAGCGGCCAGCCGTTGACGGCCTGGCCCCGGCAGTCGGTATCGACACTGAAGTTCAGTCACGCTGACAGATCCTGTGTAGAAAGAGTGGTGTGCGAAATGAGCGTCGGTAGTTAAACGGTTTAGAGCACGCGCTCCCTGATAGAGTGAGATGTGGGTTTGAGTCCCGCTTGACGCAAAAGTTTTGCACATCACTCTACATCACTGGACATATTCATAACATCATACCACCGCTAAAAGCGGTTTAAGGAAAAGAATTTCCTTTTTTTCATAACCGTTTTGGCATACTCCAACCGTGAAGAGCTTGTCAGAGTTTTTCTTCAAATGTCATCCTTTGCTGATAAAAAAAAGAGTTTTTATCGATGCGGAAGGTCTGTAATCACTACAAAACCTTACACAACGTTGTAAACACTACGTGCTCCATTGGCGTGGTCAATTGCGGCGACTGCCACGCGAGCGACCAATTCAACGCCACTTTCTTTCAACTGCCGGCTTGAAGAACTTGAGCGTATCTTATTATTACTTGGATGTTATCTAATGTGCCCAGCACTCTGGCATCAATTTTCCGACCTTGGAGGGATCGGAAGGCTTGATAAGCTCAGGGATTCAAAGAATCTACCACTGAGACAGCATCGCAATGTCGAACCGCTGTTGTAGACACGTAACTTGGATTAATGCTATTTGACGATAGCAAGCCCAAGGAAACCTTGGCCACGATAAAGATTAATCAGAAACCAGCGTATCTTTGCCAGTAAAATAAGACATTTAACGAAAAAAATATATATATTAGGGATATTCAAACTTGAGCGTGAGCAAAAGAAACACACGAAACAAGAGGTATGATTTATTGATACCAGTCAAGAGCAGTTGAGCGTATAACAGTGCTCATTCAGTGATATTTCCACCTAATGGTGCGTGTAAATAGTATGTCTGCGTCTCCTCCATATAAGGGGACCGAGATGCTCGAAAGGAAAGGAATTGGCTAGGACGAAGTACTGTGCAACTGACGAGGCTGCCAAGGCCGAAACATGTGTATTGCAATGTATAAACTCCCGGAAGAGACCACATGTATGGCTCAAGAATAATTATCAGGCATATTGAAATTCGAACGTGTTCTCAAGAGAACATTTGGAACGAATAGTTCAACAAGCGCCCCAGCTTGTGAGGCGACCACATTCGATGGCGCAATGATCATCGATTTTTCGGGCATACGAACGCGTAGAAAAGCTGGCCAAGGAAAGCTTTCTTACATATGCGAATTCAACTTATTTTACCTTCTGCGCTGCAGTAAAGCAGTTCTTTCTTGATATTAGCACAGCGATGGATTCAGAAGCGATTGCGCATCGAATAATCACTAGTAGTCCAAAGAAAAAGCTCTGTCCAGCGAGAAACGTGCACGTCTGCAGTGCAAGAAATCTTCTTCTGCGGCAATGTCGGAAAAGGCTCTTTCGAGAACCGGCGACGTGGGGCTGTAGCCTGAAGTCTCAGCTTGCGAATGGTTACTAATACTCCTGTGGAATAATCCTCTCCAAGGAATGAGATCGCTTTTTCATTTGTCGCTTCACAACCGTACCTATCAATATACTTAACAATCTTATATGCTTTGCCATATCAGACGTGATGAAACGCATCTTCTTACGAGGCTGATAAATGGATTCATCAAATTTATCCTCAACCCTTCAAACATCTCACATTCTTGTGCGGAGGTGAGTTTTCTCCTATAAACCATCTTCGTTATGTGTGTGCCCTATGTGTGCTTAGTTAGGGATTTGCTTCAGAACTGAGCTTACCATAAGTGGTCTTTTCTATAGATACACAGTGACCCGCGTCACCATCGTACTTGTTCTTAAATAAAACATGAATACTAGGCGAACTATATTCTTAATCTGCCTGATAATCATTTTTTGAGCACCGCATGTCAGGGGTCTATCAAAGAGAGCTGACTTATGAAGCCCGATACACGTGTTTCGATCTTGTGATCTCGTCGGTCGGGCAGTTATGCTTTCCCGTCTCTTGCTAATCCTGTGTGAGTGCTCCAATCCCCACACTAAGAGTTAGCGACAACGAACGTTTTACACTCTATGTCCAGTGCCATGCATTTTCCTTGTGTGCTCAGGTGAACGCAATTTACAGCGTTTCGAATAACTTGTTCGACATGCTGATAGAGTTCAGTTTGTACTCACCCAATAGTACTCTGCAATTGTGGAACTTCGTAGACTAATTTCACACTTAACCAAGTTTATATACAAGCAATATTCTTTTTCGACTAGAAGTGCGCAGTTACTATAGCTAACATTTTGGCAATCTAAAACTCACCGATGGCAAAGAGGCATGTTAATTTGAAAACATGTGCTTCAAGAAATGGAAAAACAGATTACAAGAGGTATGGCACGAAGTCACGCTTCATTACGAGACATTTCTCTTTGCGGTTCATTTTTGGGCCTTTGCTATATATCCAGAAGGCTTTCAAAGTTTTACTCTCAGATGTTTTTGATTTCTGTGCAAGGGCCGTGAATTTAACGTCAAAATTTGCTCCTTTATTTTTGACATAAAGTTTTTCCTATGCTATCCAAAAAAAATTTATTTCTTACATTTTCTGTTGGAGTTATGAAGGCCTTTGATTTGATAATTTGCGAATCAATTTGACCTTTCGAGGCTTTGAAGATGGCGAACCTTGCAGAAAAACGTAAGCCACCACGACTGTTGTAATATTCATGCTGCATTATTAACTGTTTTGTTATATGTTTCGCTGATATTCAATAAATAATATCAATAACACCTCGGGGTGGCTAAATAGAAGAAGATACTCATTTATTCAAACTAAGCCGTGGTTAATAGAAGAACTAGTAATGACAGAGCATGAACAGGTCAACAGATCAAGAGTAGTCAGTGTTCATGATTTACATTTGAGCTCACAGTTAGTTCTGCGTTCTCACAAAGATGACATTTTTGCTTTGCTTCCATCAGAATCGAACTAATATTCATGTGATCACTAATATGGAACCAATGCATTGAGTCATAGTACGAGTTATACAAATTTTTTCAAGTTTGGAGAATTTCGTAATGATTCGTGCTGTTGTATTGAGTGATCTGCTATCAAGTACCTCAATTTGCCATTAATATTACTTGCGCATTTTTCCCTTTTTTTTTTTTGAATACCAACTCACCTGGTCATTCAATCAAATTGTCAGCTGACGGCGCGCATCATGTCGCCAAGCATATCTTCAAGCAGGACGCCGTCAGGAAGCCAAGAATTTCATGGTAGGCAGTTTTGGTTAGCTTTTAGTCATATCACCATCAATACATCCGGTACCTGCATCACTGCAGATCTTTTCCAATGAAACAGCTCAATTCTCGGTCACATCTCTCACACATTTTCCTTCACCTGTCGCCTGTCGTCCCGTTGATCGTTGAGTGACTCGAGCGGGTACCAGCAACTCTTCCAATTTTCCTATCGCGTGCTAGAGTAGCCCAGTGGGTCCTCCTCGCTCTAGGGATTCGCTGAGCATCATATCTTTCTTCTATCGCTTTCGTGAAGAAATTGGACCAACGGGTCAGTGGTCTTCCTTTAGAGCGCTTGACGTCCCGAGGAATCCAGTCGGTAACGGCTCCCGTCCATCGGTTGTCGTTGAAGCGCATCACGTGTCCGGCCCACCTTATTTTCGATATCCTGGCGTGTAGAACGGCGTCTCTGATTTTCGATCGTTGACGTAGGTCGGAACTTCGGATCTTTTCTCTCATTTGCGAGATATGGGATACTCCTAGCATCGACCTTTCGACTGCGCGTTCGATAACGGCAAGTGATCTTTCATCCTGCCTACGTAGCGACCAAGTTTCTGCTGCATACGTTCAGGGCAGGGATAACTGTCGAGTCAAAAAGGTGGGCCGGGTCGGTGTTCTTTGTCCTCTTCACTACATCTTCGATGCTCTTACACGTTCCCCAAGCCGCTCGTTTCCTCCTGCTTAACTCTGGAGCTAGGTCGTTCATCATGTTGATTTCACGACCTAGATAGACGTAACTGGAGCATTCGGAGATTGTCGTTCCGTTGAGCGTGAATGGGGCATTAGAAACCCATCCGTTCCTCATGAACATTGTTTTCGTTAGATTCAGTTGAAGACCAATCTTTACACAGGCGTTATCGAAATCGGTCAACATTCGTTCCGCTTGGCTGATGTTTGGTGTTATGAGAACGATATCGTCAGCAAAGCGAAAATGGTTTGATTGTCGACCGTCAATTTTCACTCCCATTTCGTCCCATTCTAATGTTCGCGTGACGTTTTGTAGGGTGGCAGTGAATAGTTTTGGCGAAATTGTATCGCCTTGTCGAACCCCTCTTCTTACGTCAATGGTGATATTGTTGTAGAATGGAGATATTTTGGTCGTGAAATCTTTATAAAGCTCACGAAGGATCATTATGTACCGAGTAGGGACGCCCTGGTTATCCAGAGCCTCTATAACCGCTTCTGTTTCCACTGAATCAAAGGCTTTCTTCAGATCGATGAAAGTGAGACAGAGTGGTTGTTTGTACTCTCGTGAAACTTCAATGAGTCCTGTAATCGTGTGGATGTGATCCATGGTACTGAATCCTTTTCGGAACCCTGCTTGTTCGCATGGCTGTCCTTCGTCCAGTGTTCTGTCAATCCTGTTCAGGATGACTCGAGTAAAGAGTTTATAGATAACGGACAGCAAGCAGATTGGGCGATAGTTGCCTATGTCGTGAAGGTCTCCCTTTTTGAACAACAATGCGGTCTTGCTGGTTTTCCATTGAATAGGGACCTTGCATTCTGACAGGTAGCGAGTGAAGAGCCGAGCCAGGGTGTTGATGAGAACTGGCGGCAGGTTCTTCAGGTGTTCTGGTCTAATCCTGTCTGGACCGGGTGTTGTTCTGTTTTTCACCGACGATATAGCATGTCGGATTTCGGAAGGAAGGACCGGTGGAACGACATATTCGTCCTCTTTCAATTCATATGGCGGTAAGAGAACATGGCTAGCGAAGAGATCCGAGTAGTACTGGTGGATGATTTTCTCCATAGCCCTTCTCGAAGCTGTAAGTGTTCCGTCAGGGTATCGGAGTGCAATCATCTTGGTCTTATAGTTCTGCGAAGCCTCGCTGGGCTTTGCGAATGCTCTTCCCAGCTTCTGCAGCTTCTGCCATTACTGCTGCTCTTCTCTCTTTA